AACCCCTCACTGCCTTGGGAAGCAGGATCGCACCCCGGCCACGCTCCACGCCACGCCTCCAGTCACCCCTCCTCGTGCTTTGCACCCCGTTCTTTTTCCCGAGCCGCCTCGGCTCAGCTGCCCGGTCAGTTTCTCAGCTGCTCTCTTGCTCGTGCCTCCCGGGCAAGGGGGGATTCTGGTGCAATTGACTGCACCCTGGCTGCGATCCATGAGACAGTTAAGCAGGGATGCTGGGACTGAAGCTGCTGCTTGGCCCGCTTGGGAGAGCAGGTGCTCCAGGTCGGCCCTTGGGTCTGCCGCGGCCACACGCCTCTTTCTTTGCTGGCTTCCAGCCGGCCTGGCGGTCATTTGGGGGTGTTTGCGGGCCTGTTTTGCTCGTGGCTCCTTTGGTGTGAGCGGAAAGGAGCAGCTGGGGAGCCAGGCTGCCGTGGGGTTCCTTTCTGTGGCGATTCTTGCCTCTGACACACCCCAGAAATGAAAGCATGTCCTGGGAGGGGCAGCAAAGAGGCCTGGAGGCTGGCCACCACCCGGGATGGCTGTGCAGAGCCTCCAGGTCTCAAGGCAGCCTAGTGGAACATCAGGCCGCTTGACGTGGACTCAGCCAGCCACACGGCCGTGGCTAGCGGTGCCACTCGCTTTCCCCTTGGAGCCCTCGGGGTGCCAGCGGGGGCAAGTCCACATTCTTCCTTGCTTTTCAGAGCGAGAAGCAGGCTTTCTCCCGCCTCTCTGTGGTCTGCACCGCAGGGCAGGAAAGGCCAGAGGGAGGAAGAGAGGATGCTCTGCCCATGCTCAGGGGCAGTCTCTTTTCATGCGCACTGGGGCTGGCGATGGAGGACGCTCTGGGATGGAGACTCGGTGACCCTGCGCCAGCGGGCCCATGTCTTGGCCTGGGGTTCTGTCGCGCGGAGGGTCGGCTTCTGCAGCCGAGCGGGTGCTGAGCCGAGGAGTCTGGCTCTTAGCTCCGCATCCCCAGGAACACGCCAAGGGTTAAGAGGAAGGGCCCAGGGCCGGGGGAGGGGGGGCAGACGCTGCGCGGGTGCCCTTGCGCAGGTGGGCAGACGGCCAGGTGCGGGCTGCATCCCGCCCGGACGAGCCGGGGGCAGCGGCTCCCTTCCCTCCAGGAAGCTCAAGACGGCAACGAAGGGCAGCCTGTTGGCCCGCCACTGCCGCCTGGAGCTTGCGGTCCCAATCCACCTTGCCAGGCGGCTCTGACGCAGAGGTGACCAGGGCGCTTCGCACAGGCCCCAGTGCCCTGCCAGCAGCCCGTGCTGCAAGGTGTATTGCAGCTGATGGTGAGCTCTGTAAAGATATCGTACATAATGCTTTAAAAATTAATTAAAAATCATAACAGGTAATTTTAAATAATTTTATACCCACTGTTTATTGTTACTTTGTCTGATTAATAATTGGAATATTTTAATCTAGCGTGTCACTTGCAAATTGTCTATTACGAATGAGCTGCTTGTTGACTGTAATACACGTTTGTTACATCCTTGCAAGATTGTGTTACGGGTTGCTATTACAGCAGGTATGGGGTGGGGGAACCCTGTGAAAGTGGTGATGATCGATTAGCACGCCCAGATCCAGTATGGCATAGTGGTGACGGTGTTAGACTGGGACCTGGAGATCTGGGTTCACGTCCCTGTTTGGCCATGAAGCTCCCTGGGTGGCTGTGGGCCAGGCAGGGATTCTCAGGCCTGTTGTGAGGATAACAAAACGAGGAGGGAAGCGAGGTAAATGGCCTTTGTTCCGTGCAAGTGGGGGAAAGGCAGGCTAGAAATGCCTTGCAGGAACAATCACAAGGGAGGCACCCGGCCTGGCTGGGCAGTTCTGTCCCAGCAGGGCATCTTGGGCTGGCGCTTGCTCTTCTGAAGCAAGTAGGCGTTTTCTCACTCTGTCGGTGTTTTTATTGTTATACTGGACTTTATGTTTCCAAGCCGCCTTGAGAGGGCTTCAGGCAGAAATTTCCGGCCAGGAAATACTTTAAATATATAAAATGAACACATGTTTACTTGTGGAGAATCCCTAAGAACCACAACAAGGAGACATGCAAGGTTCCCAGCGTTGGTCAAATGATCAGCTGGATCAGATGAAACACATTTTGGGATGTATTAAAAGCTGCTTGTGTGTTGTTAGCCTTTTAAAGTTTGTTGTTGTTGTTAGTCGCGAAGTCATGTCCAACCCATCGTGACCCCATGGACAACATTCCTCCAGGCCTTCCAATCAGTGGTTCCGTGCCCAGTTCTCACTGTTGCTTCTTGACCCGCACACAGGTTTCTCAAGAGACAAATAAGATGGTCTGGTACTCCCATCACTTTAAGAACTTGCCACAATTTGTTGTGATCCACACAGTCAAAGGCTTTAGCATAGTCAATGAAGCAGAAGTAGATGTTTCTCTGGAACTCCCTAGATTTCTCCATGATCCAGCGTATGTTGGCAATTTGAACTCGAGTTCCTCTCCCTCTTTGAAACCCTGCCTGTACTTCTGGTAGTTCTCGGTCCACATACTGCTGGAGCCGAGCTTGTAGGATTTTGAGCATCACTTTGCTAGCATGTGAAATGAGTGCAATGGTGCGGTAGTTCGAACACTCTTTGGCATTGCCCTTCTTTGGGATCAGAATGTAAACTGACCTTTTCCAATCCTGTGGCCACGGCTGAGTTTTCCAAATTTGCTGGCATATTGAGTGTGGCACTTTTACTGCATTGTCTTTTAGGATTTTAAATAGCTCAGCTGGAATACTGTCACCTCCACTAGCTTTGTTGTTGCTCAGACTTCCTAAGGCCCATTTGACTTCACATTCCAGGATGTCTGGCTCGAGGTCAGCGACCACCCCATCGTGGTTTTCAGGTTATCAGGGATGTTAAGCTCTTTCTTGTATAGTTCTTCTGTGTAATCTTGCCACCTCTTCTTAATCTCTTCTGCCTCTGATAGGTTCCTGCCATTTTGGTCCTTTATCATGCGCATCTTTGCATGAAACGTTCCCTTCATATCTCCAGTTTTCATGAAGAGATCTCTGGTCCTCCCTATTCTATTGTTTTCTTCTATTTCTTTGCACTGTTCATTTAAGAAGGCATTCTTATCTGTTCTAGCTATTCTCTGAAATTCTGCATTCAATTGGGTGTTTCTTTCCTTTTCTCCCTTGCCTTTCGCTTCCCTTCTTTCCGTAGCTATTTGTAAAGCTTCCTCAGACAGCCATTTTGCTTTCTTGCATTTCTTTTTCTTTGGGATGGTTTTAGTTGCTGCCTCTTGTACAATGTTGCGAACCTCCGTCAGTAGTTCTTCAGGCACTCTGTCTATCAGATCTAATTCCTTAAATCTATTTGTCACCTCTACTGTATATTCATCAGGGATATGATTTAGGTCATACCTGAGTGGCCTAGTGCTTTTCCCTACTTTCTTCAATTTAAGCCTAAATTTTGCAACAAGAAGCTCATGATCTGAGCCACAGGCAGCTCCTGGTCTTGTTTTCACTGACTGTATAGAGCTTCTCCATCTTTGGCTGCAGAGCACATAGTCAATCTGATTTCTGTGTTGACCCTCTGATGTCCATGTGTAGAGTCGTCTCTTGGGTTGTTGGAAAAGAGTGTTTGCTGTGACCATCGTATTCTCTTGACAAAATTCTACCAGCCTGTACCCTGCTTTGTTTTGTACTCCAAGGCCAAATCTGCCTGTTATTCTGGTTATCTTTTGGCTTCCTACTTTAGCATTCCAGTCCCCCATGATGATAAGGACATCATTTTTTGGTGTTAATTCTAGAAGGTGTTGCAGGCCTTCATAGAACTGGTCAACTTCAGCCTCTCCAGCACCAGTGGTTGGGGCATAGACTTGGACTGCTGTGATGTTGAATGGTTTGCCTTGGATTCGAACTGAGATCATTCTGTCATTTTGGAGATTGTGTCCCAGTACTGCTTTTCCTACTCTTTTATTGACTATGGAGGCTTCTCCATTTCTTCTGAGGGATTCTTGCCTGCAGTAGTATACCTGATGGTCATCTGAATTAAATTCACCCATTCCTGTCCCTTTTAGTTCACTGATTCCTAAGATGTCGATGTTCAGTCTTGTCATCTCTTGTTTGACCACATCAAGCTTGCCTTGACTCATGATTACATTCCAGATTTCTGTGGAGTATAGATATTTACAGCATCGGACTCTCCTTTCACCACCAGATACATCAGCAACTGAGGGTCCTTTCGACTTTGACCCAGTTGCTTCACTCTTTCTGGCGCTACTAGTACTAGCCCTCCGCTCTTCCCCAGTAGCATATTGGACACCTTCCGACCTGAGGGGCTCATCTTCCGGCGTCTTATCTTTTTGCCCTTTGGTACTGTCCGTGGGGTTTTCATGGCAAGGGTACTGGAGTGGGTCGCCATTTCCTTCCCCAGTGGATCACGTTTTGTCAGCGCTCTCTGCTATGACCTGTCCGTCTTGGGTGGCCCTGCATGGCAGAGCTCATAGCTTCATTGAGCCACGCAAGCCCCTTCGCCACGACAAGGCAGTGATCCATGAAGGAACTTTTAAAGTTAAAATTATGCTAATGTGTGGAAGATCTTGAGATGGCGAAGGCCTCTGTGCCATGGAGGGGGACCGTCTGGCCGCCTCTCGCAAGGCTCATGCAAGTCACACACTGCGAAAAACAGGGACTGCTCTCTCATATGCAACTATTCCATATGTGCATGAATTTAATCAACAGCCAGTCAATGGTGTGAAGCATCTTTAACTGAGTGAGTGAATGAAGCAGCAGCAGCTTGGCCCGGGCAGGGAGCACGTGGCTGGCAGGTGCTTGTGGAATCTGGGTCGCGGGCCAGAAGGCTCCTCGGGGCACCTCAGGGCAGTTGCCGGCTCCAGCTGCCCCTGCCCCACAGGCCGTAGTGAGGAGGGGAGGACAGCCAGGAAAGCGGCCTTCGACTCCTTGCAAGGGGGCCGGGAGGTGGGATACAGATGCCACGCGGGCCCAAGGGCGGAACCCGTGAGCCACACGTGTCTCTTGCTTCCCTTGCAGGGGTCCCAGGTGCTGCCGTCGGAGGAAGAGGCTACTACCCAGGTAAGGGGCAGGTGCCGGCAGAGGGCGCCCGAGGCGTGGTCATGGCCGTGGCAGGCACCGCCAGGCGGAGCCAGCGAGCCGCTAGCAGCCCAGCGGGGCGCTGCCGGGCTGCGGGGGCATGGCCAAGCACGGCGACTCCTGGGGCGGCCCACCCTGCTGCCCCTGATGGGCACCAGTGGTTTGGCACGTGGGGACTTTCGAAGAGGATGTGGCCTCCCTGGCAGGGGTGGGCGCTCCCTCCAGAGGGATCCGGTGCCCCTCGTGGCACTCGGCAGGTTTCTTCCCCCCCGGGGAGCCCGGTTTCCCTCACTGCCCCCCAGAAAAGACTCGTGGGCATTGGTTCAAAAATTCCCGCTCAACTGCCACCCGCTGTGTTTGCTGTGGACGCCGCGGTCGCCTAGCGCCACTGCCCCCGGCCACGTTCTAGAACCACGCCGCCCTTTGAGGTGCCGCTGCCTCACAGAGCCACAGTTTCTGGCACGATGGATCGCGCACAGAAGCAAGGGAAGCTCTCTCGTAGGGCCGTTCCTGCCCAGCCTCTCCCAGGCCTTCAGGGCAACGAGGAGTTGCTGGCCTGTTTGCAGGCCAAAGGTGAGGCGAAGGCCCCTGCCCCAGCCCCTCGTGGGCGGCTCCTTCGCCCTCGCCGAGCCCCCCAGGGCCCTGCCCCATGCCTCCCCGTGGCCCTCATCCTCGTGCGCCTGGGGTGAGAGCCCTGTCCCACTCACATCTGGGGGCACACCAGGCGAGCTCACGGGGTCCTGGTTGTGAGGAGAAGGCTGAGAGAGAGAGGGAAATTATGGAATCTGCACTGAATTCCTGGGATGGAGGGAGGGAAGGACAGGCAGACAGTGATGCATTTTCTCTGAATTTTTCAGGGGAACTCCCTGATTTTTAAAAGGCAAACAAAAATGTGTTCGTGTTGGGGAAATACACAGCAAAATGTGTTCAGAAATTCTGTTAGGAAAACTGTTGCAGAACTACTTCTGTACATATAAGAGGAGCACACAAGCACCTCGTCATGCCCGCTTTTCAAAGGAAATCATTCTCAGTGTTTCAGATGAACTCTAAGATCTGAAATAGCCAAACTGAGAAACTGAGATGGACCGTTTCAGTGGAAAGATACTCCGGGATCGCCGCGGTGGCGCGAAGGGATCTGGATCCGTGCCTTGCTTTACCTCATTCCTCGCCTCCCGGACTGTTTGGCCCCCAACCTGTGCGCATAGACTCCCTGGCCAGCATCTTTTCTTCCTCCCGCACTTCTTTCCCCCTTCATTTCACTTAAAATCCTCAACGAGGAGAATCAGATTTTTTCCTTTCTCATTCTGTGGCCCAAATGTTCTAATTTTCTGAGCCCTGTGGTTACGTGGCCTCTCCACACCCTCTCCAACGCCTCCCCTTTGTTTGCCCACTCGCCCCTGGCAAATCGCAGTGCCCCCCCCCCCCGTCAGCCCACAGCCTTTTCCATGCTAAGTGCCGTTTCCATAGAAACATAGAAACAGAGCGAGTCAGAAGAGGTCTCCCAGGCCATCTAGTCTGACCCCTGGCTCCAGCCAGCTCCGCTCACGACATGCCCACCATGTGCATGTCCAGCCTGTCCTTGAACACCCACACCGATGGGGCCTCAGCCACCTCCCTTGGAAGCCCATTCCACCCCCTCGGGGTCCTAACCATCAGGAAATGCTTCCTGGCATCTAAACGGAACCTTGGCTCCCTGAGCTTTGCTCTGTTGGAACGCGTCCTGCCTTCCTCTGCAGGGGAGAACAGGTCTCTACCCACCTCCGTGTGACATCCCCTCACATACCTGCATGTTGCCAACAGATCCCCTCTGAGTCTCCTCTTCTCCAGGCTGAAGAGACCCAGTTCCCTCAGTCTCACCTCGTATGGCATCCCCTGCAAACCGGCCACCAACCTTGTGGCCCTGCACTGCACTGACTCCAACCTGGCTATATCCTTCCTGTAATGAGGGGCCCAAAACTGAGCACAAGACTCCAGTTGTGGGCGCACCAGAGTCGTATGGAGTGGTGGTAATACCTCCCTCGATCTAGAAGCCACACTTCTGGCTATGCAGCCAAGGGTGGCGTTCTCCCTCTTGGCCACCGCATCACCCTGCTGGCTCATGTTCAGCCTGCAGTCAACCAGCACCCCGAGGTCCCTTTCGCAAGTGCTGCTCTCCAGCCACTTGTCCCCTGACCTGTACTTATGACACCTATGCCCCAAGTGCAAGACCTTGCACTTATCCACGTTGAACGCCATCCTGTTGTCTCCTGCCCACTTCCGTAGTTTGTCCAGATCCTTTTGGATCCGGAGTACCTGCTCCTCAGTTGTGGCCACTGCTCCAGTTTTAGCGTCGTCTGCGAATTTGATCAGCAGACTGTTCACCCCTCCTTCCATGTCATTGATGAAAAGATTAAGCAGGATCGGTCCCAGGACAGAGCCCTGGGGGACCCCGCTTGTCACTGGCTGCCATCCCGATGATTCCCCACTAATGGCTACCTTCTGCTTTCGGTCAGTCAGCCATGCCCTAATCCACCGTACGGTGCTTTGGTGTATCCCAAAACTGCTCAGTTTCTCCACCAGGATATCATGGGGCACTTTGTCAAAGGCCTTGCTGAAATCCAGGTAAACCACATCCACTGCATCCCCTCCATCGAAACCTTGTCATAGAATTCCATGAGGTTTAATGACCAGCACTTCTTTCAAAAAGCCCCCGGAAGCTTCTTGTTGGGTTCCCCTCTTGGAAAGAGCACAAGAGGAGCCCGGATGGCTCCCTCGGCCGGGCGAGCCCCCTTGCCCGAGCCCAGGGGGAATGGCTGAGGCGCTGCCCCGAGCCCCAAGAGGAGGCCTTGCTCGACCGCCTGACTTGCCCCTCTCTACAGGAGCGGCTGGCCTCGGAGGGCTGGGGGGACTTGGAGCGGGACTTGGTGGCGGAGGTAAGCCCCCGGGGGCACGGGCACCCGTGGGCGGGCAGCGGCTTGGCTGCGGAAGGAATGCATGCTTTGCGGGACCCCGGGCCTCTCCCGTGTTCCTGGGATTGCTGGGCTGCCCGACTCGGATCCGGCTGGCAGTGGATGCACGGCTGGCACACGAAATCCTTCCCGGGCGGCTGGCCCTGCTCGGCTGGAATCGCCATCCCACAGCACAGCCAAGGCCACCCGGAGGCTGTGTGGTGCAGTGGGTTGAGCAGGCGACCCTAACCAGGCACCCCCTAGGTGTGCTGGACCGTAACACATTTAGAAGGAAGACGTCAAGATGGGGGAGGTCGGAATAGATAGTGGGGATGCCGAGAGCTGCGGTGCAGCGGGTCTGGAGGGTGGCGGGTTGGGGGAGGCCACGGGAGGCGATGGTCATTGCAAATGTGCATTTTGGGGATGATGGGAGTTGCACTCCAACACATCTGAAGAGTGCCAGGTTGGGGGAGACGGGGTAGAGAGCGGGACCAGAGAGGCCAGTTCGGATCCCCAGGCAGCTTGTGTGGGTGGGTGGGCTCAGGAGGGTGGGCCTGATTTCATATCCACCTCACAGGGTTGCTGAGTTTGGGGTTTCTCGGCCACCCTCCGCAGGCAGAAGAGGGAAGCACAAAGTTCGGAAAGCCTGGGCGAAGGGAGACCGGCCCCAGAGCGCCACTCCCAGGCCAAACAGCCCTGCCCGGCTTGGCCCTGGGCAGCCAGGGCTGCCCCTCAGAGGAGGAGCATCCCATGGGGCCCGCGGCACCAGCCTCGGAGGGGGTGTCTTTGACGGAGCCCTTCGTGGCGCACGGCCTGTTTTGGGCATGGGTTCAGCACCATGCGCGGCCCCCTTAAGGGTCTCGCTGAAACAAAGCACCCCTGGCCTGCCCCAGAGGAGGAGCACTGCAGGAGACGGAACGGGGAGCACTGCCGCCTCCGCGAGCACGAAGCCAGCCGGGGGCGAGGGGGTGGGCTGCCTCCCTGAGCCGCGGAGCAGCCCTGCAATCCTGCCCTGCGCTCACGCGTGCCCGGAAAGCGCCTGCCTGCCTGCCTGCCTGCCTGCCTGCCCTGCATGCCCTTTTCCCTGCAACGGCTGCGGCCTCCCAGCAGTGGGGTCACTGTTCATGGAAAAGTGGGACACGCTTTTCACAGACTCCGTGCGCCTTCGGATTGTGGCCACACGCGTGGCTCCATCTGTGCTGTGTTTCCGCGTGCGCTCCACAGCGTGTGGCGAGGAGCTGTCGCTGCAGCTCTGCGTGCTCTCGGTGCGGGCATTGTACCTTGGCTCTTCCCCAAATAGCCATGCCCCCTTCCGTGGTCCCCATTTCCCCTGCCCGCAGTCATCCAGCCCCAGATTTTGCGGGGTTTCTGCTGCATGCTGCAGGGTGGAGACCCCCTCCCGTCACTTCTCAACTGGTGGAAGACTCTGAAGCTAAAATGGGTGGCTAAACTGTGGGTGGCTTTGGTTTTTGGTCACCACCCCCTCAAATGCGGCCCCCAACAGCTTCCCCATGATGGATGTTGCCGTGCCAGAGAAGCCTGCTAGCCCTGCTGCAACGGAGTGGGGCGGGAGAGCAAAAGAGCCGAAGGCGGCTCCCTCCCACCTCTGCCCAGCCCCAGGGGCAAGCGGGGTGCTGGGCGGCAGCTGCCCCCCACGAAGCATCTCCCCCGCTCCCCCCACGTCTGCCGTGCCCTTGTTCTGGGGGGGTCCTCGGGCACATGGCTTCATGGGCGGCAGTTGAGTGAGAACAACGGGCGTGTTCCGGAATGGGACCTGGAAGCCTCCAGTGGCTGCTCCGGGGCAGTTGCTCGGCTGAGCAGTAACACCTTTTTCCTTTTCCCACAGGACTTGTTCTTGGAGCAAAACCCCCCAAGCCAGGTAACCTACCCCCTTGCAGCAAAAGGCAAAGCTTCTCCCAGAGGCGCAGGCCTGTGGGGGAGAGCGCCAGTCGTGTTCATGCATCCCCCCCCCCGCCCGCCCCAGGGCCCATGTGCTGCCTTCTATCTCATACAGAGAAGTCTGCAGTAAAATTGCCTCTGGGTGCAAGATGGCAATGCTTTCTGCCTCCCACCCCCCACCCACAAAGCTTTTGCTTTTGTGTTACACAATAAAAAGTATTTTTTAAAAAATACTTTGAGGGAAATTTATTCCATTCTCATTTGAACATGAACTTACAAAATTTTTCACTTCCAAACACATTTTGAACAGAAATGTGTGTGCCTTTGTATGCGTTACATCTCCAAAATTTGCAATGAAGCTGTCTATTTTAAAATGTGCGCTTTCAAAGAAAATTCATAGAAAATTGCCTAGATTAATGATGAAATTAGGCTTCAAATGTGCATTTTATTAGGAAAGTTGCTTTCAAAGAAGTGTGCATAGAAATGGTTAGAACTGCATACAAAAATGTATACATATAGGGAAATTAGCATACAAATGATATAAACTACTCTATCTATCTATCTGGCTGTATATGTACTCAAAGTACCAGGTAAATCCAATTTACTTTTTTTGTTTTGATAGGGGACATTTTAACATTTGTGATTGTAAGATTGGAAAACTTAGGAATGGAGAGAAACCAAGATGGACAGACGCCCCCACCACGGGCCTGTGTGCACATGATGTGCTGCATTGGAGTTTCATTGCACCTCCCAGATCACAGATCATGCCAATGTGCCCGGGTCCCGTTTGCAAATTCCCAAATTGTTGATCACATTAAAAAAACCAGGTTCTTGACACACATTTCCATATGAGCATTTTTCATGCACTTCTAAGCTTTAGTCAATGAGCAGAAAGCACCGCTTTGGAAAAATATGCGCAGATGCGTGCATTTTTTCCTGCTTGAAAGGAGCAATGAGTCAAATTCAAAAATGGGAGCCGTCCCCAGAAAGGGGCAGCCTTTGGCAGGATGTTGGTGAGCTTGGGGGCCCCTGTCCCCGCCGCCCGCAGCCGCTTTGGTGCCTCCCGCTTCAGCTTCTGGCCCAGGCAGTCGCTCCCCTTCCACACGGCCAGGGGGCTGACCCCGCTCTTCTCTCCCACAGGGGTCGGAGGGACCGGAGCGCTTGGTGAGTGTGCGCAGCGAGATGCTCGAGCCGGGAAGGGGTTTCCCCGCCTGTTTCTGGGGCGGCCCAAACGGGCATCCCGGCGGCTCACGGGCGCTGCCGGGCCCCTTGCAGCCTGTCCAGAGCCTCGTCTCGGACATGTGCGCGCAGGGGGGCTCCTCAGGCGCTGGCTTGTTCGTGGGTGGGGGCACACGGGGAGCGCTGAGGTGGCTCAGCCGGGATGGCGCATGTGACGTGGAGCCCAGCTTTCCCTGCCCTCCACGACGGGCTGCCTGAGCCTGATGTGGAAGGGAAGGTGGGGCAGAGCCGGGCGAGCCTCAGTGGCTCCCAGTGGGGGGCCAAGGCGGGTCCCCGGAAAGCTTGGGGGTGCTGAAGCAGCAGAGGTGGGGCCCGCCGGGGAGAGCCTGAGGCACTTTGGCAGGCCCCGGACATCCCCTGGGCTGGGCCAAGCTCCGCCGTGGCCGGGGGCCGGTGGGGGGCAGGAACGGGCTTTCCCAGCAGGGATGCCACAGAGCCGCTTGGGGCGGGCCAGGGAGAGTGCCTGCGTGAGCGAGGGCTGCCAGGCCGGACCTGGTGTGCCGCCGTGCCGGCCGGCCGCACGGGACTCGCCCTGGGTCAGGGTCTCGCACGGGGCTGCCTCCTGCTGCAGCCTGGCTGAGTGCAGCCTCCTCTGCTTCTCTGCCCAAGGTGGCCTCTATCCAGGAGGAGCCTACCCAGGTGGGGCCTACCCCGGCGGGGCCTATCCAGGGGTTGGAAGCGCCGCCTCTGCGGCCGCATATAAAGCTGCTGCCAAAGCAGGTATGCCCCCCACCCCGTCTCCAGCTGCCCCTTCGCCGTGGCCCCAAAAGCCACCACGGCGGAACTGGCCCCTCTCCCACGTCCAGGGCTGGCTGGGCCAATGTGGCGGCCGAGCCCCCGCCGAGCAGCGAGGCTTCTGCCCCGTCCCTGGCCTGGCCCTCCCGACCTGCCTCGGCAGGGTGGGTGTCACGGCCCACCTGCTGCTCCGCTGCTGGCGCAGGTGCCCGCCCTGTGAGGTCCTGGGTGAGCTGCCTGCCGAGCAGCTGATCCGGACTTTCAGCCCTTGAGGGGGCGGCTTCGTGCTCTGCTGTTTGGGAATCACCCTGGCCTTGCGTGTCCTCTTTTTAACCAGCTGCTGGTGTTGGCGTCCCCGGTGGCGGTGTAGGTGTTGGCGTCCCCGGTGGCGGTGTAGGTGTTGGCATCCCCGGTGGCGGTGTAGGTGTTGGCGTCCCCGGTGGCGGTGTAGGTGTTGGTGTCCCCGGCGGCGGTGTCGGCGTTGTACCTGGAGGTAGGTTCTTGCTGATCTGAACTGCAGCCAGTTGCCTCCCCCGTTTTCCTGCCCCCCCCCCCGCACCGTGGGAGGAGGAGTCCTTGACGGGGCCGGTGAGGCTTCCTCGACCTCCTGGGGCGGGTGGAGCAGTGGGACGCCTTCTCCATGGCTTGGGCTGTGGCTCCCCGAATTCCTTAGCCGGCTAGGCTGGCTGGGGTCGCTGGAAGACGCAGCCCCAAATGCCCAGGGGGACACCAGGCACCCAGCCCTGTCCCCAGGCAGGCATGTGGCGCCCCTTTCAGCTCAGCCCCATTGCAAGGGAGTTCTGGGGGCCATGTCCCCTGGGGGTGGGGCTGAAGGCCCAAGGGGGGGCAGCTTCCCAGAAGAGCCCCCCCCCCCATGGAGCTGGATGCTCTTTGTTACCAGCCAGCAACCCTTTCTGCCTTCGGGAGGAGGGTGGCGGAAGCCCCCAAGCAGTCCCTGGCCGGGGGAAAGGGTCAGGCCTTTGGGACGCCTGGGGGCTAAACTGGGCCACCTGGAGTGCCAGCCTGGGGCTAAACTGGACCACCTGAAGTACCCCTCAGGGGCCAAACACTGGCCAGGCAATGCCATGGGCAAGAGGCCAACCCCCCCATGTTTCTCCCCACTGCAGGCGCAGTTGTGCCACAGACAGGGCTGCAGCCAGGAGCTGGCGCTGGAGCCAAACCAGGCAAAATCCCAGGTAGGCGAGCGGGTCTTCCAAGAAAAATCCTTGGCCCACCCCAGCTGGCCAAGGCGGAATGGCGGGGCGGGGGGGGAGCCGTGCCTCTGGCACCTCCTCTTGCTCTCAGCCTGCCTTGCCGGGCTGCCCCGACAGGTAATCCAGGTGGAACACGAAGGAGTGCTGCCTGGTGTTGGCCTGGGGATGCAGCAGGCAGTGTGGTGTGGTGGTTAGAGCATGGGGCTGGTGCTTGGAAGACACTGACGAGCTGTTCATGGCCTTTGGGCGACTCCCCGGCGGCCGCAGTGCGAGAGAAGGCAGGGCTGTTACACGCCGCCTCGCGGCCCTGGGAAGGACATGTAGCATGCTTGCAGTCCTTAAGTGAGAACAGAGACGATCGCAAGCTCGGGGGACGTTTCCAGGGTGTGGTGTTCGACCAGCAATCAGGCACAGGTGGAACCCCAATTCGCCCAGCGGGATCAGCCGTGCCACCCGGCATCCTTGCGGAGGGCCTGCTTCTTGCCTGGCCTCAGTTGCCCCGCATTAGCTGAGCACCCGCAGGGAGCCCCCCCACCCCGCTGGGGAAGGAGAGGCGCGACCCCGAACGCTTCTGCTCTCTCCTTGGCAGGGGTCGGGATTCCCGGAGTCTTCCCTGGAGGCATCCTCCCCGGCACAGGTGAGTCTCTGCCCTGGTCCGTGCACCCTCCCCGCATCCCACAGTAAGGGTGGGGGCACCTTTTCAACAAAAGTGCAGCAAACTATTTTCCTAGTTCAGCCTGCAAGAGCCTCATAGGAAAGACCAGAGTCTGTCTGTCTGTCTGTCTGTCTGTCTGTCTGTCTGTCTGTCTTCTATCTATCTCATCATCTTTTGTTGCCGAATTCTCTGTATTTCAGGGATACGTTACCCTGGGGTTGGGGTTTTACCAGGTGTGCCAACTGGAACCGGTGTCAAGCCAAAAGCCCCAGGTAAGCTGAGACTTAACTGCAGCTGTCAACGGCTTGCATTAGTCACTTTTAGGGGTTTTAATCAATTAATTGCTTAATTTCTATGCCACCCAATAGCTGAAGCTCTCTGGACAGTTTTGGAGAAATCTGCAGCAGACTTAAATCAGTTTGACTCTGCCCATGAATTTGGCCACAGACTGGCTATTCCCACATTGCATGGATTCCACTGACTTGTGGAATGTTTAAATTATTATGTTCTATAATTTTATACACATTATAGAAAATAAGTAAAATAAAAAAACCAAAATAGGCATTTCTCCATAGGCTAAAATGTGAAAAATACACATTTAAGGGGCATTCATATATTTGGGGGGACAGTTTTGCACATTTTTAGAAATTTGGGTTTGCACAGCTTCAAATATCTGCAAATGTTCACAAACACATTGGCACAAAATCGGTTCTTCACAAGCGACTAGAACAACAGGCACCTCACAGACTGTGAAATGTAGACGACGCAGATTTCATAATGTCATCATGACTTTCCTAAGAAGTAATCCCTGAGGAGCCGGGGCTCAGCCATCTCTGGTCTGGACTGTGCTTTGTTTGTTTGTTTATTTATTTGGGAAACTCGTATGCCGCCCCATTCGCATAAGCCTCGGGGTGGCTTCCATCCAATAAATAACAATACAAAAATATAAAAATTGGATACATCCAGACAATAAATAAAACCAATAAATAGATTAACAATTAATTAAACTAACATTTAAATAAAAAGGTCTTGGCCTGGCGCCGAAAAACAAATGTTGGCGGCGCCAGGCGGACCTCTCTGGGGAGCGCATTCTACAAGAGGGGTGCCACCGCAGAGAAGGCCCTCCTCTTACATCATCATCCTTATAAGCAGAGGTTGGATGGTTTTGACAACAGAGTCCTGCATCATTACCCAGCAGAACCAGCTTCTCCAACCCGGCGCCCTCCAGGCGTTTTAGAGCACAGCTGCCATCTGGATTCCAACTAACATCTCACAGAACTCGGTTCCACCCCTGACTTAAAACCTTGCCACACATCCATCCCAAAGGAAAACACTCCTGCTCCTGAAGCCCCCGAGGTGCGTGAGTGCGCACGCCAAGTTCCAGGTGTCTAGGTTTTGCTCTTGTGGCATTGTGCGCATACGTAGACGTGCACACGTCCTCTCTGGGGCGGCGTGACTTGGTGTGCGGCACCAGCAGCGGTTCGCCCCGACGGCCTTCCCGGCCCCATCCAGCGCCACCGTTCTAGCATTCAGATCCAGTTATGATGGATTGACTGGGTTTTCCTGTTGCTTTTATCCCCTGTTTTCTCAACAAAAGTTCTCAGCTGCTTTATGTCTGATATTCTGCTTCTCCAGTCAGAATAGGAAAGGAGCTAAGGAACAGGAGCTAAGGAACTTATCCCTCCAATAAACTTTAATAACAGGAAGAACCTGCTGCTCACCATGCGCTCTTTTAGGATACTTGCAGTTTTCTGCCCAGCGTGTGCTCCTGCCCGCCCTCCACGGCCCCGGTGTTCTTCTCGGGAAGAGCAGCACCGCTGCCCTGAGCACACTCTTGCCGCTGGCCTTCTGTGGGGACGGAGCTGCTTCTAATTCTCTCCCCCCCCTCTCTTTCTGTAGCAGCAGGAGGTGCCTTTGCAGGGATCCCTGGTAGGTTGGACCTCACGATGGCGAATGTTTGCATGTGCGCTTGGGATGCAGCGGGCAGGAAACTGAGCCATGCATGCTGCCGCAGGCCAGGCATGTCTGGGGGCTGGCTGGGTCGCCGGGAGCCTGCATGTACCCTGATTGTGCTTGATTGTCCCAGGATTTGGAGGCGGCTTCGGTGGACAGCAGCCCGGGCTGCCTCTGGGCTACCCCATAAAAGCACCCAAACTCCCAGGTGAGCCTGAATCCAGAACGCCCCAACCACTGCATGCATTGATTGTCTAAAGGACGCCCTGACTGGAAGGCCGGCTGGGACGTGCCGCCCAAAGAGCTGTGACTGACGAAGCCCCGGAAAGCCTGTGCCGTTAATTTCATTGATTTACCTGGGTCGATAGCAAGTAGATGCAATTTCAGTGCGCCTGCGCCTGCTGATGCGAGTGCAGGCCATCGGGTTGAAACGAAAATTCCCCAGCTGCATTGCTAAACCCTGAGGGACTTTTGTAACGGTGCTTTTGATAATACCTGTGAAATTCCTGTGCTGGTGGCCAGAGAGCAGCACGTGCCCAGTTCCCGGTGCCAGTGACAGAGGGCGAAGCCTGAAATGGGCCGGGACCAGGCGCCTGGTGGGCCGTCCGGGGTGGGGTGGGGTCGTTTGGCAGCATGGCTATTTGTGTGCAAGGCAGGGAGAGAAATCAGATGAGGAAGACACAGCAGCGCATTCCCAACCCTGCTCGGAGGAAGTGCGCCTGCCCTTCCTGGCCTCCCGGGACGAAAAGGCTCTCCCAGAACATCACTCAAGTCCAGAAGAGCCATTAGTGGGGCTCTCGGGCTACCACCCCCAGAATCCCTGGCCATCCAGCTGCTGGGCCACTTAAGGACCTGCAGGGCAAAGCATCTGGAAGGCACCAACCCAGAGGAGGCTGGGTTCACAAGGGTGCGGTGGCCAGAATGACGCACCTGGGCAGCTTGAATGACTTGGCTTGGGCCACAGAAGTAGAAAAGGGGTAGAGCTTCCTGCAGCCGAACCTTCGGGGGGGGGGGGGCGGGGCCTCTTCTAGCTCAGGTGCAGAACCTCTTCCAGCTGGAGGACCGGACTCCATTTCTGAGATGCTCTTGGGGGTGTATTGCATTCCAGCCCCTCAGAACAGGGTCAAAAGCTGTGCCAAGCCCCGAACAGTCTGCGGCAGCCGCGAGCTGGGGCACGGCTGGCCCAGGGTCGGGAAGGCCAGACTGGACCACCTGGCCGCAGGGCCCTTTGGTGAGGTGGGCCCGCGGTGGTGTCCCGTGCTCCTTGCCTGATCAGCCAGGATTTCTCGTTCCAGGTAATTATTATGGGCTGTCCTACGGCGCTGGGAAACTCCCCTATGGTGAGTCCTTTTGGCAAGTCTCTGGTGTGCTAGCCAACGTCCCCCTGGGGCTCTGGCGACAGTCTGCGGGAGAGGCTGCGGGTCAGGGAGGGGGCTGCCCGCCAGGTCAAGGCCAGGCTGGCCAGGAAGGGGAGTGGGTCCCAGGGGAGGGGAGGCCGGCTGGGTGGCCACCCGCCTGGCAGACCGACAGCCACCTGGGAGCCCGTTTCACCTGTGAGGCTCTGTGTGGGAGCAGCTCTCGGGCAGCGGGTGTGAGCTGAGGGCTTCTCCATGCCCTGCTCAGCGCGATCTGCCCGCCTAGGGCTAACGGGAGCGGGCTGATCCTGGGTGCGGGACCGCTGGGTGGACGGCGCCTCTGCTCGGGTACTCGTGGGGGACGCATTGGGCCTCCTCCCCAGGGCTGTGGCGGCGCCAGGCCTGGCTGAGAGAAGCGCCAGGATCTCCAGCTAGCAGGGATGCCGGCCACTCCTGCCACCCTCCCCAGATTTGCCCTTTCCTTGGGGGAGGGGGGGGCTGGAGCAGAGAATTAGCCTTCCCGGCAACCGTGGCTTGTGTCCCCATCGCAATGCCAAGCAGCTTTGCTTGGGTGGATCTGGCATGGGCGAGGGAGAGCCGCTCACTCAGCGGACAGCCGGAGCGGCTCGCAGGAGCCGAGCGGCCTCTTGGGCAGGGCGAGGGGCACCGTCCCCCGCTGCGAGGCGGACTCGGGCTGCAGACCCCGCAGGCCCAAGCCCCGGGGAAGAGTGCCGTCCCCTTTCCCGGTCCGGCCGGGGGCTGTGCTCCCCACCCACGAGGGGCCGTGCCGAAGGAGGCCCTGCCCACCAACGCCCCGGGGCTCTGGGGGGCGGAGACCCGCCTCCTCGCTCAGGCGGCCCTGCCTTCTCTTTGTGGCTGCAGTCAGTGGGCTGAGCGCTGCTTACGGCGGAGGGAAGGCTGGCTACCCGACGGGCACAGGTGAGCAGATGCGGGGGGGCACGGAGCCGGCATGAGGCCCTGGAGGCCCTCGGAAGGGCCCGGGGCCCCTGCCCTGGGCGGCCCAACCTGGCCGGGCACCCCGGCCATCCTGCCATGCTGCGCTGAAGTGGATCCGCAGGGGCACCTTCATCACCAGGCCCACCCCAGCCCCTAACTCAAGGGAAGGGTGCCCCCTTTCAAGCCCTCCGCAGGCTCTCCAGGCACGGGCCGGCCCCTCTCGGGAACAGCACGCAGGGCCAGGGGGCTGGCCTGCCACGCTCCCCCTGAGAGGAACGGTGCAGGCAGGGAGGGCAGTCTGGGCTCCGGACTGAGCCCTGGTGCCTGGGCTGGACAGCCGCAAGCCCACGCCGTGGGCCTTCAGGAGAGAAAAGCCACGGCGCTGCCCAGTGGGTGGGGGAACGGGGGGTGCAGCTATCTGTGGAACTCGGGAGGGCCCCCGGGACCCGGGTGGAGCAGGGCCCCCGTGAGCCGAGTGGCGCTCCTTGGTGTGCGGCTGCCCTGAGCAGAGCTAGAGCTGGGATGAGAGAGAAGTCCAGAAAGAGGTGCTTCTTATTTACTTATTTGGGATATTTCTAACCCGTTCAATCACTCTGTGTCTTCTGGACGGCTTATGAAGACGTTCTTCTTGTGTCGGGGGCACTGTGCGGGGTGGGGGGGACACACAAGAACCTCGTCCTTGCCGAAGTAAAATTGGGGGCTTTTCATGGGGAAACTCCCCACTCCTAGGGTATGTGGGGTGTTCCCAGCATCTTCCTCGGGGAGGTGAGCACGGAGCCCACGCTATGGGGCGGGATGGGCGGGGCGGGCAGGCAGAGGCCCCTTGGGGGACCACAAAGCCGCTGTGTCTTGCCTTCGCAGGTGTGGGGCCACAGGCCGCTGCCGCAAAAGCAGCCGCAAAATATGGTGAGTACATGTGGGAAGGAGCTCTGGGCGCCAGCAGCGGAGGGGAGGGGAGGGGAGGGCCGGTCCAACCGGCCTCCCAGCGAAGGGTCCCTCTTCCCAGCACCGGCCCGACACCCGGACGCGCTTCCCCAGACCTGCTGGCTCAGCAGCTCCTCTGCCCCGGCCCCTCCGAGCCCCTCGGAGTCGGCCGAGCGTGTTCGCACTCTCCCGCGGCACCTCCGGCTCCCTTGGCCCGCGTCCGAAACGCGCGTGGCTTCCCAGGGGCTGCACTAGCCTCAGACGGAACCGGGGCCTGCCGGAGGGTCGAGGCAGCCCCGTGCCGGGGCCGCACTGCTCCGGGGCTCGGGCCAGAGCTTCCGGGGCCGACGCGGCACGCGGGCCCAAGCTCGCCGGTGCTGCCTTGCATCTCCCGGGCGGCCCGGGCGCCTCCGTGCCCTTGATGGGGGCTTCTTCCAGGGGCATGGCAGAGGAGGGCGCCTGGCTGCACAGCACGCCACGGGCAGGAAGGTGCGGTGGGCGGGGCAGCCCTGGGAGAGAAGCACACGTGGCCCGGGGCCGGCTCACCCGCGGGACCCCCCAGGGCCACGCAAAGTGCGGCGCTCCACGCGGAGCCCCGGAGGGGCTGACCGCCACCCCCTCTCTCTGCCCAGGAGCCGGGATTGTGCCAGGGACAGGGGGGATCCCAGGCACCGGCACGCTCGGAGGAGGACTGGTGCCCGGTGCTGGCGGTATTCCCGGAGTGACAGGTAAAAAAGGCCTTTTGTCGCTTGAGCCGCACAAACGCAGGGCGGGGGCGCTGCCTGGGGGGCCGGGAGTGGGGCTGCGGGCCCAGCACGTGTGGAAAGGCGGCAGCGGGGCCCAGGCGCCCCCCCCAGCGGCCAGGCAGGGCGCTGCGAGCAGAGCAGGGGGCCAAGGGCAGGAAGGATCTTGACGGCACGGCCGGCGGGGCGGAAATTCTGCCGGATGCTTTTCGGCGAGAGAGCGGGCCCTGCCCACGAAGGGCGGCTCTGCCGTGCCCCTCACCCGCCCTGCGCCCCTCTCCCCCAACAGGCGGAGGTGGTCCTGCAGCGGCCGCGGCAGCAGCAGCAGCAGCCAAAGCGGCAGCCAAAGCGGCAGCATACGGTGAGTCTGCTCTCCCACAGGCCCTGGAACGGGCGGGGGGGGGGTGGGGGGGCTGTGGGGATCCTCCGTGGGGCGCCTGAGGACTGGGGGGAGAAGGGTGGAGGGGGGCTGAGCCCTTCCTGGCCCTGACGGTTTCTCTCCCTGCCCCCCCCCTCTGGCCACCACAGCAAGTGCAGGCCACTGGGTTTCGCTGAGGGGAGGCGTCTGAAACGGGGGTGGGCTGGGCTGGAGCCTGGGTGCAGAGGTGGGTTCCCATCCCTGGATTTCCCCACTGCCAGGGCAGCACGGTGAGGGATGGACTCCCTGGGGGAGCTGTGGGCTCTGCCCCGTGGGGGCACCCAGAGAGCGTCTGGACAGCCATCTCAGCAAGATGGTGCCGCTTGGGGCCCGGCGGCAGCAGCAGCATCGGGCTGGGCGCAGTGGCCCTCCGGCCCTCCCAGCTCTGCTCTTCTGGGTTCCATGACCCTTCCAGTTCAGTGTTCCCCAGCCTGGCTACCTCCGATGGGTTGGACTACACCACCCAGCACCCTGCAGGCCTGTTGGGCTGAGACTGTCCTCGCCTCGGCTCCTCACACATGCAGTTGCATTCGACTGCAACTCCCAGCAACACCTGCCGAGCTCGCGGGAGCTGTAGTCCACGCATCTGGAGGCTGCCAGAGCAAGCAGAACAGGCTCAGCCGCATCCCAGGCCAGCTCCAGATGTGCCGGTGCCCCTTGCGCGGCCGGCTCCTGGCCGAGGCCTGCACATCCGGAGGACGCGCGCGGAGAGGGCTCGGCGCTGGAAGCGGGGTGCAGCGATTGGGACGGGGAGTGCCGAGGGCCCCCTTGCAGGCGGAGAATACACTCGACCTTCTCGGGAGCGGCGGGGAGCCCCGCCATGCACACGGGCCCTCACTGGCAGCGGGCGCACTCTGGCTGGCCAGGTGACCTGCCCTCCAAGCGCCACTGAGATGGGGGTCCTGGCCCCACCCAGGATCCCTGGGCAGACCAAATTGTCTGTGCGATTGAAAGCAGACCAGCTGCAGGAAGCCAAGCGATGGAGGGATCTGCGAAAGCCACAGAAGCGCCAGGTTTCGATGGGGAATGTGTCTGCAAGGGGCGCGGGGGGGGGGGGGCGAGCCGCAGTTTTCCCATTCTGGAAGTGCTTGGCAAGCCTCTGCCCAGCATCCCGTCCACAAGTGGGGCACTGCAGCCGACTCGTCCCCCGCCGTGGGGGTCGCGCTTGGCCTCTGGGGCGGTGCGCTGCAGCCGGTGCCCTCCAGAGGCATCGTCAGTGGCCCAGCAGAGCCTCCGCAGCGCAGGCCCCCCCGGGGCCCCCACTGCACCTCTGGCAGGGTCCATGCGTGCTGCGGCTCCATCCCGGCTGCACAGGCCGCACACCCTCCCCGTGGGGACAGAGGAGGGGCTTTGCCTGGCTGGAGGGCCGCCGCTTAGCTCAGAGGGAGGGGGATGCCTGAGGTGCCCCCTGCTGACCGGGGGGGGGGGCAAGGCCACGTCCCGCTGAGCCCGGGGGCTGCGACGGTGCGGCTGCTGGTGGCAGCCAGTACCCCATTTGGCCTGGCCCCGGGACCCGAGTCTGGCCTGCACTGTGGCGGCAGGTGGCAGGGCGGCAGAGGCTTCCGCCCCAAGCCGAGCCCCGATGCTGATGGCTCTGCCCCTCTTTCTCGCTGATTTTGGGGCCCTCCCGCAACCAGTCGCTGGAGCTGGCCTTCTGCCTTTTTCACTGTTCAAGTCCGTTGTGCTTCTCCGCAACCATCGTTGCTGTTTTACGCCAGAGCAAGCGCAGAAAACTCCTGGAGTTGCGGCGCTGCACCAAATGCGCCTCTTGTCCCGGGTTTGCTTAGCTGACGGTTTCCTCCGTCTTCCCCCACATGGTGCCCTTGCATGCGTCAGATGCCTCTGCATCCCAGGCAGGCAGGTCGGCGTGACTCAGTTTCAGGCCAAGGGCACTCTGCATCCTGAAAACGTTTTGAAAATATTAAAGACGCTTGCAGTGTCTGTACAGAATCAGACCCGAGTTAGGGATCAAGAATGTGGCTCTGGCATTGCTGTGAAGAAGGCAGAAACGGGGCTGGCCGGCCCCGGCCCCAGCAATGGCTGCCTTTCCCTGCCAGTCCCTGGGCAGCTCTCCTCTGCTCTCTGGGCTGGGGGGCCATGGGGGCTGGAAAGTCTGCTGCCCCATGGCCCAAGCCTGTGCCCGGTGGAGACTGCCCTCTAGTGGACCCTGCTGGCCAGGCCTGTGGCCAGCCTAAACTTTTGGGGGAGGCCAAAAAATGCGGAGGAGGGGAGGTAGTCGGTTCCCTTTTCAGGCCTTTTAAACCCCACATTGAAATATTTTATTAATCAATGCTTAAATCAAAATTGTATTAAAGAAAAAAAATTATTTTGAGAAAGATCGGCTGGGGAGGGAAAGGCTACATGTGAGCGCACACCTGCTTCCCGGTTCCAAATGTTTTGGACTTCAGTCCCCATCAGCCCTTACCAGTATGGTTTCTGGATGTGGTTGTCCAAGAAACCTAGAGATACTGGGTGGGGGGTTTTCTAGCAACAAGAGTGGAAACGGACCTCAAACCGGCTTCCGTCCTTCTCCTCCTGCTGCTCCCTGGCTTTTCCCCACAACAACAGCCCTGTGAGGGAGGCCGGGCTGAGAGAGTGCCAAGTGGGCCCCCTGGCTGAGCAGGGCCCAGTCCCAGCCCCACATGCTTTCCCATGGCGCCACGCTGGCTCTGGCCTTAGATGCGCGGCGCAGCAGGCACACCCCTCGCTCAGCCGCCATCGCCGGAACAGCGAAAGGCGGGAGTTGCTCTTGAGGCGCCCTTTCACAGAGCCCCTGCACAGCCGAAAGGGAATTTCGCAGGCTGAGATACTGGCTCCTCCCCATCTCGTGCCCCCCCCCCCGAGTGCAGCCCCCTGCCCTCCTGACGTCATCCGGGCCACAGGGCGGCTCGGGGTCCAAGCCACGGCCTCGGAAACACAGCCGGGCCAGCCGGAGCGGGGTCTGGCCCCAGAGGGCCCGCCCTCGCGGCCGGGGGCAGCAACCACGCCGCCTGAGCCCCCAAGCCCGAAGTCCGTCTTTGGAGCTGGTGCTGGGGGGCATTCCAGGGTGTGGGTGAGGCACGGCTGCCCCCCGGGGACCCTGGCCGTGCCTGAGCCTGGCATTTCCCCTGGCAAGGCAAGGGGGGCATGAGGGGGGCAACCGCGGCTGCTGCACCCCCCCCCGTCTCCGCCGGGCGCCCTTGCCCCCCAACCCTTCTCGGCACCCTGGAGCGCATCTCCGTCACCAGGCTCCCTGCGGTGCAATATTGGCAGAGGCACTTTGGCTGCATGCATGGAAACAGACCGGAAAGGCACCCGCAGCGTCCCTACGGTGCTTGCTTGCTTACGTACGTGTTGGAGGAACCAGGAACCGCCGCCGATCGTGCGTGAGGGCAAGCGGTGTGGAGGTGCCTCGTCTGCGCAGGGCCCCTTCCTCCTCCTCGGGACTGAGGAGGCGCGCCCGACTCGCACGGCCATCCGCACCGCCGTCCGGGTGACTGCTCCTCCTCTCCCTGCACAGGCGCCGGAGCTGTTCCCGGGACGGGCATCGGCGGTGCCGGGGTCCCAGGTGTGGCCCCCGGGGTCAGCGGCCTGCCTGGCATCGCTCCCGGGATTGGAGCAGGCCTTGGAGGACCCGGAGCCGGAGGTAGGCGGGCGGGCGGGTCGCCACCGCATTTGCCCCTCGAGGCCCGGGCCTCACGGCCGTGTGGCCCCCCGGGAGTCCCTGCGAGAGCCCCTTCGGGGGGCAGGGCGTGCCGAGCTGTGTCGGGAGGGCTGTCTCCCCAGTCCTCCAAGCCTCACGCCTGGGGTGCAGACCACACTCTGAGAAGGAGGGGCCATGCGCTCGGTTCCCGCCCGGTGAGGACAGCGTTGGCCGTGAGGGTGGGAGGGACTCGCAGCCCACTCCCGGTGCCCTCCGGCTGCGTTGGATCGCGGCCGGGTGGGGCTCCCCCACCCCTCGCAGGCACAGGCAGCGCGACGGGAGCCGCACGCTCGGCATCTTTGCCCCCGTTGCCCTCTGCCCTGCCCACCGCTAGGACCTGCCCCACGAGCTGCTCCGGCTGGAAGTGCAGCCCTCCCTTCCGTGGAAAGGGTCCCTCCCCACGGCAGTCTCTGGCCCACCCCACTCCCACCTGACCGGGCACGCAGGCCTGCGGAAGCGGTCGCCGCTCTTCCCCGCCGGAGCAGCAGCAGTGTCCTTGCATGCTACCTGCTTGGCATCCGTCTCCAAAGCTTGCCCTGTGTGATCACCTACCCATTTCTTGTCTGCTTTTCTGTGCCAGCGGTGAGTCCGGCGGCGGCGGCGGCTGCAGCTGCAAAAGCAGCAAAATATGGTAAGGCTTCCTGAGTTGCTCAGCAGGGGGAAGGGGGGGGGGGGAGTCACATCGTGTGGTTCCACCCAGCTTCGCTGCTCTGTTCAGTGTCTGGACAAGCTCAGTGTCAGTTCCAAGTTCCTAGTCCTTAAGATGGGCAAGTTATACCCAGGCAACGCATAGGCTCAGAAGAGCTCGAATCAGCCTACTTTTTCCAGTGTTTGGGAGCATGTGCCATGTCCTCCCACTTACCACTCCTCCCCAGTGGCAAAACCAGAATAATGCATTCTGAATAATAATAATAATAAAGAAAAATAATAAGGCATCGCCAGAATAATAAAGCCGTCACCCTTCTCATGGTGGCTGGAGGAGCCAGTAGCAGCCAGTGTGGCCTCATTCAGGGAGGCCAGTGCAGAGCAGCAACTCATGCAGGGGGGCAAAAGGAACCCCGTGAAAGCTGCTTGCTGAGACGCAGCGCTGCTTCCAGGGAGGCTGCACGACCCACTGCAGAGCCACAGGGATGTGTCTTGCCTCCAAGACGGGGTGGATGGGAAGATGAGCCCAGAGCAGTGGCTCGTGCGGAAACGCACCAACGGCTTCTCCGTGGGGCTGCCCTGGGTTGGTTCCCACCGTGCACAGAGCCGAGCCCACCCAGAGATGCTCAACAGATCGCGTGTGGGAACGAGCCCTCCAGCTTCATGTCTTCTCTCCCAGGACTGCTCCCGCGTGGCATCGGAGGCGTTCCAGGTGGGGCTGGCGTCGGAGGCGTTCCAGGTGTCGTCGGAGTCGGCCCAGGTGGCGTTGGTGTTGGAGGCGGCCTTGGCGTTGGAGCTGGGGGCATCCCAGGTGGCATCGGCCTTCCAGCTATCCCAGGTCGGTGGGCAGAGGGCAGGGTGGAAGTCCTCGGAGATCTCTCGCTAATTTGCGATGGCTCGGGCAAGTGTTTCCGAGAGGGCAGAATGCAGCAACAGGAAGGCTGAAATTAGATGGCCAGAAACTGCAACATTTCAAAGACCGGAAGGGACGGTTTCTGCCCAGCCCATTCTGTGTCTGCAGACTGTTGGGTGCCTTTTTCTGCTCATTGGATTGATGACTCTGAAGAACTGTTGCTTTTGCTTGCAAGCACGCAGCTTATTCATGCATGTATCCGTGAGCATGTGATTGTGCTCATACGCACTTGCATGTGTGCGCATTCGCACGAGGGCCTCTGTGCAGTCCCCTGCCCGAAGCAAGATACCAGCCCACACATCCAGCGAAGCCACGTGGCTGGGAAACAGCTTCGTGGTGCAGGCCCGGGAGTCGGATGCACAGAGGGCTCAGCCACTTTGCATCTGTTGTGACTTTCTCCAGCACCCCTGGGTGGGGAGAGGGAGCAAGTGTGGGTTTTCTGGCGCACGCCGTTCAGGAAGCCAAACCAGCCGCTGGATCGTGCACTCAGGGGAGGGGAGTCGGGCTCCCGGGCGGCTTTCTGCCGCCACCTGGTTTGCTCTCGAACAGGCAACGGCTGCCCCACGCCCCTCCGGAGCTCTGTTTCCCAGGAGGGAAGGAAGCCGGTAGGAGAGCGTTGCTGGCGTGGCCCCACACTGGCCTGCCTTCCCAGACCTGCCTCCAGGACATGGCGACGGGGCAGTCGTGATGCGCCCAGCTGCCCGAGGGGCCGCAGCGCCACTGCTGCTCACCGGTGCTTGCCTGGCGTGCGCTCTGGACGGCTCCGTGGCCTCCAGGCTCTCCTCAGGGGCTCTAGGGGCCATGCACAGCCCCGGAGATCCACCCAGCCTGACTTCTCCGCTCCTCTTGCTGAGAGGAGGAGAGGAGCGCCACGGGGCCCTGCCTGGGCCAGGACTCTGTCTTTGGAGGGGGCGTAGCTCCTTTTTGCGTGCAGGAAGCAGCGGGCTCCATTTGCAGCAGCATCTCATGGTGAAGTCAGAAGAACTCCTGCGAAAAGCCGGGGGTTCTGCTGCCACCACAACCCAGCGCTGCCGGCTGTACCGGGCTGGATGGGCCAAAGGGGCCGAGGCAGCAGAACACACCTTCCTGCTTTCCTCTTTTGCTTAATTCAGAACCATGAGGACTAGAATCCTCCTTTAGTTTTGAGGGAGAAACGCAGTCCAGTGGCAGACCCCTGCTCTGCGTGCAGGAGGCCCTGGGTGGATCCCCAGCAGCCTCGCTCTGTGGACAAACTCCTGCTATGCAAGCTCGCTGCAGGGGCCGGGGGTGGGGTGGGGGGGGTGCAGCCGAAAGCGCTTCCTAATGTCCCTGTGTGCCAACAGGACCTGGGAGTGCGGCGGCGGCCGCGAAGGCGGCGGCGAAGGCGGCAGCCTATGGTGAGCGAGCCGCGCCTTCTGCCGTGGCCCAGGGGCCCCGTGAGAGTCGTTGGGGCCATTTGAACGTGGGGGCGCAGGGCCCTGTGAACGGCCGGATCGGGTACAGGAAGCACACTGCAGGCCGAGGTCGGGGCAGCCCAGGGAGGCCCCCTGAAGCCCCCCATGCCGCTCCTACCAGCCCCACAGCAGTAGCCACCGAGGCTGGCGACAGGGCCTCCAGAGACCCCGGGACTGCTCTCTGAAACGGCCCCCGGGCCCGGCTGGAGGAGGGAGACGCTGCGCAGAGACACGTCCGTGCGTGCGGAGGGCTGGGCTCCTCCTGTCTCGTTTAGGCGACGCTCGTCAATGAACAGGCACTGTCCTGGCTACTGTTGGCGACTGTCCACGCTGCCGCCAGGCACTCCGGACCCCCAGGCGCCTGGGCCAGTCAGCTGAGCTTAGAGGGCCTTCTGCCCCATGTGCTGAAGCTGTGACAGGGAGCCCCCCGCCTCCCCCTTGCTATGAGCCGGGGCGCCCCAGCCAGCCGTGGGAGGCAGCACCCAGAGCGTCGTCCCTGGGCCCAGCGCTCCCCGATGCGCTAGGCTGGAACTCCCACATGGGGGAAGCGATCATCACGCCAGACGGGGGTGGCTGACATTTCAGGACGCCCAGAATCAGGCAGCGGGGAGGGGGGACCCCAAGTCGCAGGTGCCTCTTCGGAGGGCCCCGGCGCACCATTCTCTTCCCGCAGATGAAACTGGCCGGGGCCAGGAAAATGGCGCGCAGGCCACAGCGAGCGAAGCGCGGCAGGAGCGGCACTTCCTCAGCTGACCCTTTCTCCCGGCCTTTGCTTTAGGGACTGGAGTGGCCCCTGGCTACGGGCCACTTGCTTTGGTGCCCATCTCCAGAGGGGTAGGACCCGGGGGAGTCGCACCTGGGGGAGTCGCACCGGGGGGAGTCGCACCCCGAGGCGTTGGACTTAGCCAGATAGGTAGGCTGGGCTTGCCGATGCGCCACAGCCCCTCCCTCCTGAGCGCGCCGCCCGGCAGGGGAGGCGGGTGGCCTTGACATCCGTGGGCAGTGCACCCACCCCAGTCTTCAGCCTGGGCTTCAAGGGAGCCCCGAAGGTCCCGAAGCGATTCTGGGAGGAGGTGCGCACCCAGCCCTGCTGACGCTGGGGGCAGTGGCCGCCCCGATCTGGCCCTCCGGAGCACCCCCGGTGGCAGCGGTGAAGGCCCGGGGCCGCCTGGGTCCCCCTCCAAAATGCTGGTGGCTTGCTGGTTTCTTGGGCTGTGCGCCCGCCCGCCTTCCCAAGGGGCCGAGGCCGTGCCTGGCTGCAGAGCTTTGCATGGCATGGTGCTGGTGCCCCCCCCCGGTGCCCCCTCCGCCCCAGGATGCGGCTCCCAAGAGCTGCTCCGGAGTGGAATTGCCCCAATCTGAAGGACTTCGGCCCCCCAGACGCATCAGGCTGCCCCCATCACCCACTGCACCCCTCCGCAACACATCCGTCCGCGTCAGCTGTGCCTCCACCGCCCCGTGACCCACCGGACGATGAAGCAGAATCGGTGCGGGCGGTCCTGAGCCTCGCCCTGTCCTTCTCTCTCCTCAGCTCCAGGAGGCGCAGCAGCAGCGGCCTCTGCAGCAAAAGCAGCCATGAAGGCGGCGAAATACGGTAGGGGGCTGCTTCCCCCTCAGGCCCATGGAGGCGGTGGGGAGGCACTGGCCAATGCTTTGCCATCCCTGGGAAACCATGCGAGCGCCCCCACAAAAAGGGGGCGCCCCGAGCGGCGGGTGCCTGCCGAGATGGGGCGGCACAGAGAGGGGGCCGGGCAGCTCTGTGGAGTCCGGGGCTCCCAGCCCCACCTTGCGCCTGTGCAGAGCTGCCTCTCTGCGCCCAGGGGAGTCGTGGCGCTGTGCCGCTGGATGGCTCCCCTCCGGGGGCTGGCTGGGGAGAGCGCGGCGGGCGCTTGCCGGCCGGGGGTGCAGTGGAGAGGCCTCCGCCTCAGGCAGCAGCTTGGCACGGACTGGAAGCCTCTTCTGCTTAGCACGGGCGCCCGGGGGGTGCCTCTCCTCACCCCGGCTTTGTCCAAGCAGGTGCGAGGGGCCTGGGGCAGGCCGCCGGCACCGGTGTCGGGCTCGGTATCGTTACCGGAATCGGGCTAGGAGGCGGCGGAGCCGGTGTAGGTAAGCCGCTCTGCGGCCCGCCCTGCCCGCCCAGCGTGTGCCTCCGGTGGCGCAGCGCTGTCCCCCGCTGCCTCGCGGAGGGGCCAGCTGCCCGGCCACGTCGGGGTGTGCTGCGACGGAGCCGCGCGTCGTTCCCGGGACGCCCGTGGAGCCGCAGGGCCTCCGGCCGGGCAGTGTGCCCGGCCTGCCATGGCCCAGGGCCTCGCTAGCTCGTGCCCGCCCCCAGGCGGCCCTCGGCGCGACGTGCGTGCTGACTTCTCCATCTGCCCCTCAGGGCCCGGCTCCGTCCCAGCAGCCGCGGCAGCCAAAGCAGCGGCAAAGGCAGCCAAGTACGGTGAGTCTCGCGCAGGTCTCCCCTCCCCGCAGCCCCCCGCCCACCAGGCTCGTCTGTGGAAGCCATGCCTTCCTCCTCGCTGTGCGCACCACCAGGAGCAAACACCACGGGATCGGCACGAGGAGCCGCCAGTTGCCTCTGGAGGCGTGCGAGCCACCCACAGCGCGTGCCGCCGGGCTTGCCCTTCCAGCCCGCCAGTTCACAGCAGGCGGGTTCTGAGGATGTGTCGGCAGGGTTTTTTCCCTGATTTAGCACCACTTGTTCCTAAAAAATGCAGAAAATAAGAAGGCCGCAGGCCACACTGTGGGCGTTCCCCATCGGCTCGCGGTGCACAGGTGCCTTTCGCGGGGATTGGTGCCTTCTCTGGAGTGTGGCTGCGCCGCTGCAGGCCAGCGCCCTCGAGCAGGTTCTGTCAGTGAGCCGATGACGGAGGGAAAGTCACTTGATGCTTCAGCCCCCAGCATCCACACCCCGCAGTCCCCTGCACGGCCAGGACAGCTTTTCCAGAAGAACCAGGACATTCAAACCAAGGTTAGACATGCTGAAAGACAAATGGCGACATGCCGTCTGACAAAGAGGAAATAAAGAGAAGGCGGAAACAATATATTCTGCAGAAAAGAGGAAAGGATGCCAGGTCCCTTTGAAGGGAGATCCAGTTAGGAAGAGCCTGGAATATCAGAAAATGAAGGGAAAGCTGCTCTGAACCCGCCTGCAAGAAGCAGGTGCCCAGAGCTGGCGGGATGCTGAAGAGCCGCTCCTGGCTGATCAAGCCAAATCCCAACATGAACATGCCAACAAATCTGGTCACCACAGATGACCCTCAGCCTCCAATGTTCAACATGCATTCCAAACCCCGAGAAAGGAGATGCAGGCGGTGCTGCAGCCGCTGGATCGTCGCGCTGATTTCCCATGCCAGCAAAATTGTGCACAGGATGTTCCCTGTATGAAGCAGAAAGCGGGATTCTGAAGAGGCGTCCAGAGTCATATCACAACTATACTTTAGCAGGCATATACTAGAGCACACCAAAGAATTTCGGGAGCAGATCGGTCTGTGCTTCAAAGCCGCTTTGGCCGTGTGGATCCCGAGCAGATATGGGTAGTCTTGAAAGAAACGGTTGCGCCTCCACAATTTTTTGTCCTGATGTGAAACATGCAACACAGACAAGAAACTGCTGTGAGCACAGAATGGTTTCCCATACACGGAGATGTCAGAGCAGGATGTAATTTATCTCCCTAACTGCAGTACGAGTCATAAGGAGGGCTGGATTAGAATTAGAGGGAGGAGTGAAAATTGGTGGAAGATACTTCAGCACTTTAAGATATGCAGATGATACTGTTTTACTGGTGGAAAAACCGATGGATTGAAACAACTCCTGAGGAAAGTGAAATAAAAAGTGCCAAAGCAGGTTTGCAGCTGCACATCGGAAGAATTAAGGTCATGATGAAAGCGGAATCGCGCAGCTTTAGTGTCAATAATGGAGAGATTGAAAGATTTTACAGACTTCAGCTCAGTCACTGATTCAAAGGGCAAAGAAATTCAAAGAACACTGAGATTTAGAAGGGCAACAATGAAAGAACTGCAAAAGATGCTCAAGCTGAAGGCAGTTTCTCAGGGGAGCATGCCCAAGATCACCCACACTGCTGTATTCCTGACCACGGTGGGTGGATGTGAAAGCTGGGCAGTGAAGAAAGCTGGCAGAAAGGAAGCAGCTGCGTGGAAACAGGATTCGGGTGTTCGAAGCAGGGTGCTGAGGAGAGCTCTGGAATACCCCGGACTGACAGAAAGATAAGCAGGTGGATCTGGGATCAAATCAAGCCAGAACTTTCCCCGGAAGCAAAAATCGAAGCAGTTGGGACTTCAGGCACATCATGAGAAGACAAGACTCCCTGGGGAAGATAACCATGCCTGGGAAAATAGAACGGAGGAGGAGGAGGAGGAGGAGATGGAGACCAGCCAAGAGGTCGATCTCTTTCCTAGGGAAGCCGCAGCTTGGACTACCAGGTGCTGAGCAGGGCTGTGAAGGAAAGGGCCTTCTGCCACCCATTCACAGGGTGGCCACAAGGCGGAGGGAGCGTGCTGGCCTGGGCGCAGAGGTGCAGTGTGTGGGGCTTCCCTCGAGAGCCGCCCAGAAGGCCCAGTGGGCGCAAGCGGGTTGGCCGCCGGCCGTGGCGTGCAAGGCCTGCCCTGGGAGCCGAGCCCTGCCCAGGCTCCGGCCAAGCGGGGGCCCTAATGGTCGCGGCCCGAAGAGCCGGACACCCAAGGGGCCACGCTGACCGGGCGTGAGGCCTGCGCAAGAGGCCCTTTGCGGGCATGGGGCCCCCTGAGGCCAGGCGGTCTGGCCCCCGTGGCGGGGCTTTCCCTCATGCTGCTCCTGCCATTCGGGATGGGCCAGTTGCCCGGCTTGAAAAAAGTTACGAAGACGCATCTTTTTCACCTCGCCTCTTAGAAGATGGCATTTCAATCTTCTTCATGGTTTTCTCTCCCAGCGGGGACGGGCGCTGACGTGGGGTGCGCTGTGCCCCATCACCTGCGGCCCCGAAGGTGGCTGTTTCTGGGGCCTGGGTCTGCAGGTCCCTGGGCTCTGAGGCCGGGTCCAGTCGCAGCGGACCCACTGAGGGGCACACCCCAGCTGGGCGGGAGCGGTGTCCGCAGCGGGGGCCCTCCAGCAGGCCCTCTTCCAAGCAGCTGCGCCAGAGAGGCGTCCTTGAGGGACTTGCACGGGGCCCCAGTTCGGCGTTCCCGTGGCCGCTGGAGCTCCCCAGAGGCCATGCCCTTTCCCCGGGCCCCGTTCCTCTGTCCCTGTCGCCAGCCGTTTGGTTCTTTCCCAGACTGGTGCATTGCAAAAGGCTCCGAGACGAGCAGGGAGCACTTCCCGCTGCGGCACGCCGGGGTGCCGGGGTTTTTGGGCCACTCCTGTGGCTTGGCCTGCGAGAGCTGCTCCAGCGAGGATCCACCCTTTGGCCTGGGAGCGGTTCTGCCCTCCCAGCCCCTGTGCCATGGGGAGGATGCGGGGCTGGAACCAAGCAAAGGGACCAGCTGCAGAGGCAGTGCAGGGATGCCGTGATGCACAGAACGAAGTTCTTGCCATTAAAGTGGCATTCGGTGGAGCCTGCAGAACTGCTGCGAGCATCTTCTCGGTGGGAAACCCATCCGCCTAACTTGAAACGTCGTCCATTTCTGCCTAGGGGCTGCAGGAGGTGGAGTCGTGCCGGGAGGTGGAGTCGTGCCGGGAGGCGGAGTCTTGCCGGGAGGCGGAGTCGTGCCGGGAGGTGGAGTCGTGCCCGGTGGCGGAGTTGTGCCCGGTGGCGGAGTCGTGCCCGGTGGCGGAGTCGTGCCCGGTGCAGGTACGCCCTGGCTCCTCCCGGGCCACCCAGGGCCACTCCGGCAGCTCTGGCGGTGTGGCCAGTCCAGTCCCATCTGGAGGCCAAAGGCAGCTGCCAGGAAGAGGCTCTGACCAGGGCTGTCTCCGATCCTCCCACAGGAATCCCCCAGATTGGAGTGTACCCGGGGGCCAAGCCGCCTAAATATGGTACGTGTGGGGAGAAGAACGCCCTTGCCACGTGGCTTGTCATGCTCCCAGGCGGAGCGCCAGCTTGGCATACGAGGCTGGCGCTGCAGGGGGATTGGTCGCTCCACTAGCTTAGCCTCTCCTTCGGAAAACGGCTCCCGTGGCCCCCACAGCATCGCCCACTGGGAAGCGCCTGCCCTCCACCCCTTTGCAGGCGAGCGGTCCAGCCCCGTTCCCAGCCCGTGCCTTCGATCCGCATGCTGCACGCTGGCGGGCCCAGCCCCGGGTGCACAGGGGCGGCCCGCTGTCGCCACTCGAGGGGCACGTGTCCCAGGCCGGCTTTGCTGGTCCCGGGACCTTGCGAGCCTCAGGCCGTTCCCAGGCCGGGGCGCAGTGCAGGAGCCCGGTCGGTCGGGACACTGCCCACCTGCCCTGCGGCCCACCCCAGACGGAGCACGCGGTGGGGCCACCCGCCCTCGGGGGGCAGCTCTCCAGGGCCGCCTCCCGGGCCGCAAGGCTTTCTGGTCGCCCCTCTGTCCATCCGCCGCCCCTGCGTGGCTGCGAGCGGGGCACCCCCCCTTGCCGCCCCTCCCTTGAAGGCAGAGACGGTGCCACTGGGAAAGGTGCGTCAAGGCTGAGCTTGCGTGGCACGCAGGGTGTGAGCCGAGTCCGGGAGGCAGAGGGGCTGGCCCTGTGCTCTCCGGAGGCTCTCGGGCCGCTTTCGTTGGCGGCAGGGCCGAAGGCAGCTGGGCAGGAGGCGTGCGGCTGGCCGGCCCAGCCCGGCGGGGGGGCAGCCGCCTGTCGTCGGAGGGGGGGCCGGGCGTGCCCGCAGGCTCGCGGCGAGAGGTGCTCTGCTGAGACTTGCTCCGTTCCCTGACAGGAGTCCCAGGAGCTGGTCTGGGCGGTGCCGGTGTGCCGGGTAAGGCCGCGGGGGGGCTCCTCGGGGCAAATGCAAGTGGCTGGGGGGCTTCCCTGCTCTAGCACCGGGCGTGCCCCTCCCTCACCCTTTGGAAAGCCCAGCTGCTGTGTGGGGCTCTCTCGGGCCACCCACGCCAGGTCCACGGACCAGGGGGCAGGGCTCTCCCGTCAGCCAGGCACCCCTCCTCTGCTGCCTCTGAGCTCTGCTGCCCCCGCGCAGCGGCCGGGCCTGGAGGGCACGGGCCGTTCCCAGCGCTGCGTCGTGTGGCTTGGCCAAACAGTGGCTCCCGGGGAAAGGCAGCAGCCAGAAGGGCTTGCCAAGCCGCCGAAACACTGCTGCCTCCATCCGGGGCCCCCCGGGGGTGGGTGGCAACCGCGGTGCGCCCGGGGCTTCCAGGGGACCACGGTGGGCTCCTGAGTTCTTCCCGCTTTTTCCCACAGGCCTCGGAGGTGGTGCAGGAGGAGGATTTGGCACCCCTGGAGTGGCAGGACCCAGCTATGGTGGCCTGGGGGCCGGAGGGCTGGCACCTGGTGTGTAGACGCGGCTCCCTGGGGTTCGGGAGGCCTCTTTCCCTCCCCTGTCCCTGCTTATGGCAGTGAGAAAGATGCACAGGCTCCGTGGCCGCCGGGCCCAGGCCTGCCGAGAGGGAACATGGTTGTCCGTGCGGACATTCCCATCTGGGGCACTTTGGGGGGGGGGGGGGGGTCAGTGCAGAGCTCTTGACTCTGCCAAGAACTCAGTGATGCAGACGGGCGTTCCAGGAGTGGAAAAGAGTCGGCCCCCAGGCCACGCAGCCACCTAAACTCTGTACGTGCAGTTTTCTGTGTGCAATTTTAGGAATAATCAGGGGCGTTGATTAAACTTCAAAAGCCAGCCAGTTCATTTCTTATGTAAATCATCTCCAATAAATTACTGAAAGGAGTTGCAACTCGTCTGCCATCATCCCAAGCCAGCGGAGCGTCTGTTCCCTGAGTGTAAGGCCCCGTGGGGAGAGACGTTGCGGGAGAAGACGGCAGCGGCCTTTTCCTTCGCCTTGTGCCCCCCTCAAAACTTGCGTAGCCGTGAAGTTTAGGGGAAAAGCTCTTTTGGGGGCAGTGAATGTTTGGGCCCTGCCGATCCTCCGGAGCTGCCGCTCTCCATGCGGAGCCGGGCTGCACTGGCCCAGCCCAGCCACCCTGCCCACCTGCTCCTGGAAGGCTCTTGCCCCGCTGACCTGCTTCCCCACACAGAACTTTGCAGGAGGGCCTGAGAAGGCCGCGTCCCCCTCCGAGCGCCCAGGGCTGCGTCCATCCTTTCCTCCCAGCGGAAAACCTGCTAAGAGGGAAAAGATGGCGGCACCGCAGAGGGAGTTGCTCTGAGAAGGGAGAGCACCTCCACCTCCGAAGGCCTGCGATCCATTTGGCGCTGCTTGGGGGTCCTGCATGTATCCCGCTTTTTCTTCGGAGAAGTCCAAGGCGCACACTGCTTCTTTCTTCGAAGAAGCGGTGAGATAAGCTGTGCCCCCCGGCCGTGGAAGCGGACCCAAACTTGCTTGGGGTACTTCACAGGGTCCCTTGGGAGGCAGGGAGCTTCCCTGCACCTGAACTTTGCGGGAGCATTTTGCAAATATGTGAAACAAAATTAACACCTTAAAAAAGGCAAACGAGGAATATTCATGTGTCATGCTGCAAGGAAATATATGTGATCAGAATCCACTAGTGGCTTTCTTTGGGTTGTGATTCCAACCCAGTGAAGGAGCAGCTATTTCACGTCTGGTTTAATGATTTTGAAAGATTTCTTCCCCAACCACCAGACAAACTGCAACGTGCAGGCCGTTTCGGCATAAAGCCGTCGTCGGTCTGCAGATAAAACCGTCCGGTTAAAAGCGCCGCGATCGCAGCTTGTGAACGGCGCCTCGAAGAGGCTCACGGGCTGCGCAAATCTGAGAAGGAAACGCAGGGAGCCGTTTTGCTAAGCACTGCCTTGCCTACCTTCCGCCCTCTCTCCAGTCTGCAGACTGCAGTCCCCATCATCCCCAGCCAACTTAGTCTGGGTGGGGAACAGCTCTGATCAGCCAATGATGTGTGACCACCCCCCCGGCCCGGTGCCTGGGGGTGGTCCTGAATCGCGCGGGGGGGTCCGTCACGGGCGCCCCTTTCGCTTGCGCAGCCGGCGTCTCACCTTCTCTCTCTCTGCCACGCAGGGCTGCAGTATCCCGGGGCTGGTGGCAAACCCCCCAAACCAGGTAAGCGGTGCGGTCGGGAGGGACTGGCAGGTGGGGCAGCATCACAGGCCGGGGCAGGCGTCCCACCCCAGCAGGGTCCCTGGACATGGCCCCGCACACCCCTCGCGGGCGACCCGGACGAGGGCAGTGCTGGAAAGAGGAGTGGAGAGGCACGGGCCGCCCCTTGCCCCCAGGTGGCCACTGCTGGGCCAGCCGTGCCTGTGACCGGCCCGCCGGGGGGGGGGGCTCCCGTGGGAGGGGTTCGTGCCCACTGCTGTGCCAGCGCCAACACAGTCCGCAGGGCCACCCGTGGGGCTCTGGAAGAAGGCGCACGCCCCAGGGAAGGGGGTGCAGTTCCATGGGAACGGCCCGAGTCCCGGGTTTTCCGGAGGCTGCTGCGGCACCGGGCTGCCCCCTCCCTGGCCCCCCCGGCCCCATGCAGCCGCTCGCAGGGCCTCGCCACTGACGGGGCGCCTTTCTGTGTCGCCGCAGGTTTCGGGGTCGGCGGTCCCCTAGTGGGTGAGTGGATGGGCAAGCGCCGGCTGGGCTGGGCTGGGCTGGGCTGGGCTGGGCTGGGCTGGGCTGGGCTGGGCTCGGCTGCTGTCCAAGCGCACTGGGATGGGCCGCTGAAGGCGGGGGCGGGGGAAATGGAGCTCTGACCTGCAAACCTCTCTGTTCAGGGGCGTCGTGGTGATGGAGGATGCTCTGCACCTCCTCGGGGGCTTTCCTGTGTGCCACTTAGTCCCGGCCCCTGCGCAGGCACAGGGGCTTGCCGTGCCCTGTCCCTGGAGGGTCAGCCCCAGACGCACAACATGCCCCCGCCCCCTCTGTGGGGACTCCTCTGTGGGGAGTCCAGCCCAGAACCTGCCCAAAACCCTGCGGGCAGCACCCCCTGGTTGGGTCGGGTGCGGGGAGGAGCAGCTGAGCCCCCCGGGTGGGCAGCGCCCATGGGGGCAAGCGCAGGCTGCGGCAGACGCACTGGGGGCCAGCCGGGGGGCCAGGCCTTGCCCCAGGCTGCTCTGGGGACGCTCTCCGCCTCCCGGCTTCCCCTTCCCGCGGCGCTCCCCTGACGCCTCCTCCTTCCTTGCAGCGGGCAGCCAAGGCTTCGGATACTCCCCCATCTTCCCAGGTACGTTGCGTGGGCCAGCCGGGCCCCGCGTGGGGTGGGCAGCGGGCTGGAGACGGGCCCTCGGGCGCGCCCCCGGGGCGGGGGGCGGGGGGCGGGTGGGCTTGGCGTGGGAGGGGGCCGGCCGGCCGGCGGGGCAGGGCACCCACTGGGTTGACGAGGGTCCCCGTCTGGTTTTGGTTTGCAGGTGCAGGAGCTGGCGGCCTTGGGGGTAAGTGGCGTCTGGGGTGGGGGTGAGGCTCTGCCCACGCACCCTGATCACCCGCACACGCCACCCTCTGCTTCTTCCCTCCCACAGAAGCATCTGCCAAGGCCTACAAAGCACTGGGCTACAGAGGTACGTGCGCCAGCCGGCCGCCTCGACGCTGTCGGCCCGGGGGCTGAGCTGCCGGGGTCGGTGGGGCAGCTTCTCACGGTGCCCCGCGAGAGCAGGGAGGCACGGCCCGGCCGCGGGTGCCCACAGACCACCCCTTGGGCCCCCCAGGGGTGCTCGACGATGCCTCCCCCCATTGCCTTCTGGGAGCGGGCGAGCCACGGCTGCCGTTTCAGGCCTGGGCTCGCCTCAGCCAGCGCCTGCATGGCAGCCATTTGAAGAGTGCCCACAATTCTCTCAACACCCGCGAATGCTCCCAGGCTCCGACGCGCAGCGCATCCTCCGCCGCTTGACTGCGGCTGCAGCGAGGACCAGGAGCGGCATGGAGGCCGAGGCAGTTCGGCTCTGCGCGGCCTGAGCGCTCCCCCCGCAGCCCCGCTGGGCCGGAGGGAGCCTTGGGGGTCGCGGGGGAAGGCCAGCCTGTTTGAAGCCCGCCTCTCCTGGGTCACTGGCTCTTCAGAAGCAACCTGGGGGTCTACATTGACTGGAGCACCGAATCACCCCCACTGGCACTCTGGAGCGGGAGGGGGGCACCAAACCTCCTTTTTCAGGGGTTCTGTGGAACAGTTTCACAGTTATTCAAAGAATGATGTGTTTCAGAAACCCCCTTTTAAAGTTTAGTTTTTTCCAATATCTAAAGATGTTCCAGTTTGCCATAGAAATTGGGAATATATTTGTGGATTTTTTTCTGGTGGGCGGGGGTTCAGTAGAAATTGTGCATGAATTTATTTTTGTTTTCTATTTATGCAATAGAAATGGGACATTCCTTTGTTTTGTCATTAAGATTTTTGCAGTGCAGACGGGACATCCATTTGCGTTTTTACTGTTGCAACTGAAAGTGGGCACGCCTTTGCTTCCTCTGCCTCATTCTCCCAGCTGAAATAGCATGTGAATTTGCCTCCTTTTTCCCCTCTTTTTGCAGTCGAAATTAGACATTCAGTTCTGTGTGTCCCCTATTTCGCCAATAACCTTGGAAGGCTCATTCCAGTTTGAAGTGGCCACCGAGCTGCCCCAGGGCCGGTTGCAAAGGCGTGCCCACGGAGCCCTGGGGAGGCGAGGCCCCTGGTGTCGCAAGCCCCTGACCGTGCCCCCTTTTCCCGCAGGTAGCATCGGACGCAAGCGGAAATAGCTTGGACAGACTGCACACTACTCACCTCATGAACTTTGGTGCTACTGCCTGGTCTCGAATGTACATCCCCCCCCACTCTGAGAAAAGCGGAAATTTCACCACCACCACCACCACCACCACCACCACCACCGCTGCCACCGCCGCCGTTGTGTGCCTCCCCCGCACCCGCAACCAGCCCCCCTCCCACTCACTGGTGCTACACAGCCACCCTGCAGGGAGCCCCCCTTCTGCTCCCTGGGGGGCCTTCGGTGCTGCAGCCATGGTGGGCTGCTCTGGGAGGGGGCACTGCCCTAGCACTTTAACCCGCTCCTGAACCCTGTGCCCTCGGGCTGGGGTCAGCAGCCGCCGGCCAGTCAGCCCAGCTTCCTCTCAACTCCGTCCCCGCGGGCCCGCACGCCTCCGTGTGGGGCCGCCGGCCGGCACCAGCCCCCTACTGGGGGGCTCCTCTGCGCCCCCAGCACGCTGCCCACGGACAGGGCCGGAGCGGGCAGAGCGGGCAAGCCGCCAACCCTGGGGGACTGGCCCACATCCAGCGTCCACCGCCAGGCCGGGGCAGATCAGCACACGTGGCCAGGCCGTCTCCACCTCGCGACCCGAGTGAATGGGGCACCCGGGAAGCCTGCCCACCACCAGCAGGCCGTGCGCAACATCTTCATGTTTAATCACTTCGATGTAACTGGGATGGGACACTTTTTTTATAAAGGAGAACATAACTACTTTCCAAAAAAATTAAAATTTTTACTTTAATAAAACCCTAATAAGATAAAACCTGACTAATAAATAACTTTTTAAAGGAAGCTCCGCTCTGTCGTGCTCTCTTGTCCTCCCCCCCACACCCCCCCCTGTCCATGTCGGCTTGCGTTTGAAGCAGGCAGGTGCTGAAGGGGGTCTCTGGAGCACACGCCCCGATGCCCTCAAGCGGAAAGCAGCGCAACATCCAAGCTGGCCTGCCAGGGCCTGGGGGCGGTGGGGGGGCTGCTGCCTCGTTCACCGCCTGCTTGTCCGACGTGGCACTGGGAGGGGCTGACCACTGCCGAAGTTAAAAAACCAGCCCCGACTGCTCCTTCGGAGTACAGATGCTGAAGCTGAACTCGAATCCTTTGGCCTCCTGGTGAGGAGGGACCCTGAGGCTGGGAACGGTTGAGAAGGGGCAGCAGAGGATGAGAGGAGGCAAGATGGATGGTGTCACTGATGCAGCTGAACTCCAGGAAACGGGGGGCAGGGGGGCCCGAGGGGCTGTGGCCCGTGGGGGGTGGGGAGAGTCAGGCATGCCTTTGCAGCAAACTTCGGCTGCCGTGTGTCCAGGACCAGGACCAGCCTTGTGGCTTGGGAGCATGGGGTCCACTCTTGGGTGCTGAAGCTGAAGAAGGGCCAGGAAAGCCCAGAGGCACTTGGCACCGATTCTCACATTCAGGGGTGCCCAGAACCCCTGCTGAGCCAGGGACTGGAGGTGGCTGCCCCAAGACGAGCAAAGCACAGGCCGGGATCCCCATAACTGCTCGGTTACCCTTTGCACTGGAACAGGGCTGGGAATTTCCCTCCCATCAGGAGCCCCTTGAAAGGGCCCGCTCCAGAAGCCCTGGCCCTGCCCTGGACGTGCCCCCGTGGCCCCTCGGTCATGCAGGCCGAGACCAAACCTTCATGCCCACGTGGAGCCTTGGGCCAACGTCTTCCGGGAGGATGGATGGAGGAGAAGGGACAGGAAGAGCCTTTGGGATGAGCAAGCCGAACGTGCAGGCGCAGGAAAGCACAGGTGGAAGAAGTCCCTCCTGAAAGGCAGGGAGGGAAGGGCAGCCTGTCACCCGTTGTGCGGATGGCACAGAAGGGCGGCTCCGGTACAGGAAGCCAGAGCAGCGTTCACACTGCTCTTGCTCGTTAGGGAGACAGCAGAAAAGAGCCGAGAACGCGAACAGAGAAAAGTGCACAGAGCTTCAGCTGGGAAAGGAACCAAAAGCATGGCTGACACTGAAGGATACCTGGCTTGCAGCAGCACAGGTGTGCAAACAAGCTCGGAGGTGCAGCTGATCACAAGCTGACTGTGAAAGAGCAGCATAAGGCAGCTACTGAAACCTCCTGCGGCAATTTTGCATGGCAAAATTGTTTCCAAATCAGGAGGGGCTCGCTCTCTCCATTCTCCCCTGACAAGACCTCTCCTCAAATACTGTGCCCATTTCCAGACACCCCATTTGGAGAGGGGGTGCCCCGAGCCTACTAGGATTTTTCTCCTGCTTAGACATGCATGGGACAGCACCCTAATCCTAACACCGCATAGAGACAGAGAAACAGAGTGGGTCAGACGAGACCCCTGCCCCAGCCGGTTCCCCCAGTGACATGCACCACTAACGCCTCGCCCAGAGCCAGTCCCGGACTCAGGTTGGCGCAGCTATTTTTATTTCCCACAATTACCAGGAGCAACACCACATCAGGGACCTCCTGAAAATTAAGATGGGAGCGAGAGCAGGAGGTCTGCTGGGGCGGGGAAATAAGAGGGGCTGTGGGCAGTCTGGATCAGGCCCGAGGCCCAGCTGGTCGGGCCTTCTGTCCACACCACAGTAGATCGTTGCCCCGTTCTGTGATCTCCCGGCTGGGACGACCCCGGGGCGCTCCATCCAGCCTGCGGCAAGAGGGGGACCGAACGCCCCCCATTTCCGGTTTGGGCACCCCCGCCAAGCTTTCCCCCCAGCGCCGTTTCCCCCGGGAACCAGCCACGACGACGCTTGTGGACGCGGCCCGCCGCGGCCGCCTTCCACCTGCCCGGCTCCCCCAGCTCCTGCCCAGGCGCGGCAGCCCGAACCGCAGCCCTGGACGCGCCCGCGAAGCGCGCTGCAGGCGGCCCAGAGAGCGCCCCCGTCCGCGGCGCCGTTCCCACGACCGCTCGCACGGAGGCCTCCCAGGCGTGGAAGCGGCGCGCCCGGGGCTTTGTCCTCACGCTGCCCCCGCCGGACGCTGGCGCGCTCCTGCCGGCGCTGCAGCTCGAATCCCGCCAGCATATCCCCGGATGGGAGTCTGGCTCCGGACGCGCCGAGCGGCCCTGTCCTCCGGATGCCCCGCTGCGCGGCGGAGGCCTCTGCAGAGCCCCGGTTTAGCCACCCCGGTGGCGCGGTCCTCGGCGCACCGGCCCCTTCCCCGCTCGCTCCCAAGCGGCTGAAGAGCGCGGCCGGCGGGCCCTCCCCGCTCCCGGTACCGGACCCGCCGCGCCGCGCCGCGCCCTCCCCGCTCCCGGTACCGGACCCGCCGCGCCGCTCCGCGCCGCGCCGCTCTGGGGAAGGCCGCCCGGCGCAACGCCTCCGGCAG